TAAAAAAAAAATTAGCAGGTTATTATAAGTAGCACATTGTAAATTTAAATTAAAATTAATAATAAAAATAAAAATAAAAATTTAATTTTGATAAATATATTGGTAACTGCGATTAAACGATGAACATCATAGTTATCATAGATGAATCCCCATTCAAAAGATAAACACATAGTCTCATACATCATACATGAGAAAAAAGAAAATTATTAACTCTGTACTTAGTACTGTTCTTATAATGAATGTACAAACTTAAATAATTATAACGTCTTGAAATTTATATATAACATATAACATTCCTTGATTAAAATAGGGCGAATGCAAAATAGTGTCCTAATAATAATACATAATACACCATATAATTAAGGTTCATAATAAACGTATCAGCAGAAATGAATCACTGCGCATAATAAAACCATGCGCGTGGACTTAAATAAGATATAATAGGACGCGTACATGTGTATTATAAGCAAACAGAAAAATCGTCATTTTCCGTTAAAATTTGATGAATTTCAAACGCTCGTAGCGGCCAGAGTTTTTGTCGGATCTGGGATTTTCCGATTTTTGGCGCTTCCTCGGCACGTACAGAACGCCGTGGTATGATTGCGAATCGTAAAAAAAATCGTTTTCATGTCGTAAAGTGTCGCAAGAATTTCGGGCGGCGCGCCCTGGCGTCTCGAGCGCATGAAAAAAAAAAAGCTCGTAAAACGGTGAAAAATGAACGGATTGAATTGATTTTTTTATTATATCTCAGGAATGTCATTGGGCGGGTTTGATGAAAATTTCAATCCTTAAGTCGTAAAACGCTGGCGTCAGCGAGCGTTTTTCTCAAAAACGGTCGAAATTTTAAAACGCTCGCGGGCGAGCGGCAAAAATTTTCCGACCTTCGCCAATAATTTTCCCGGAGTCTGGTGACCGAGTACTTTCGTCGAAAAAAAAAATTTTGAAAATCCGAGCACGCTAAGTAATTTTCCCAGAAAAGCGTTTTTTTCCTTGTTCTATTATATAATAAGATTTGAGAAACTCACTAGAAGTAAACTCAGCCCAAATTTAAGAAGACAAGTTATTGAGCTCCTTACTATAGAGTCTATAGTATAGACCTTGATAACTGCATAGTAACTTCTGTATACAAACCTCTAAATGATATTTTCGAATTCAAGAAACCACTCAATTTTAAAGCTTAGCCAACTAATTTCATTATAGGAGACTTCAATAGTCACCGTACTAGTTGGGGCTACGATGTAACCGATGACAAAGTCCACAAAGTGGAATTATGGGATGACATTAATCCGTGACCCAAAGTGTATGAGCCCGATAAAAGAGTTGTCAATTTAGTATATTTTCACCTCAAGTTGGTAATAGTGGATATGGTGCAATCACAGAATAGATTAAACCAGAATGGACACTGATAAAAAAATTACATGTATTCTTATGAGAGTACGGTAATTTTGAGCTTATGTCGCTCAGTGTTACCATAAAAACAATAAAATAAGTAATTGTATGCATATAATTCATTGTACTGTACAATAATTGTACATCGGCGGTTGATTTGAACTCTAAATGTATTATTTACATGCTAATTATTTTAGAAAATTTGCATAGTAAATTTTTTGGATTTATTTTATTATTATTTCTAAACATATAACACCATTTTAAAACTTTCAATTAATGTTTTCATTATGTGTAATTAGTTTGTTTAATATATTTTTTATTTTATGTATATTTAATAAAGACTTATTTAGGAAAAAAAAATTATTCAATATCCACATAATATTAAATTTATTTAAAACATATATTACAATAATTTACAAATATCATATACATAAATAAATAATTTATAGATGAGTTAAAATAGACAATTTCCTATTTTTAATTTTTTTCTTAGACATTAAATTTTTATTTAAAAATTTTATAGCTGTAAATATTCTAAATCTTGTAAACAAATTAATTAAATACAATTTATCAAAACATTTACAAGGGTGGTTAAAAGGTACATTACAAAAATAATTTTTTAATTCGGCTCCAACTCCATCTACAATAGCAAGTGTGGAAAAGTTATTAATAAAAATATTTTCTAATTCATTAATACCAATATTTACCATATATTTTTCATATTTACCAATAAACCATTTTTATAAACATTGTGTTTACAAACAAACCATTAATAATGGTGTTGAACAATGTGACCGTATATAAAGAAAAAAGGGAATACATTTTTATTTCTTAAGTGGCAACACTGAGCGACATAAGCTTGTTATCAGCAAAAACTAAGAGTGTCACTTCTGGTTTAATCTATTCTGTGGTGCAATACCCACCTGTACCGTTGTTATCAGCTGCTGTTGCTGTTATCAGTACAATTTAACGTTTCTGTGGTTTTTAAATATGTGAGTGTTCTCTCTAACCTGCAAGCTCATGCATTGTTTTAACGTGCTCTACGTAATTCTACACACCATAGATAGTTGATATGTATGCTCATACAATATGAATACTCTACTATTCATAATTGTGCTCTCAAACAAAACCACATTGTTGATGTGAAGAATGTAAATATTATCCTACAGTTTTACTGCACTGCTGTCCTATGCAGTGGATTCAAAGAAATGGAGAATATCAGCTCAGATAACCAAGTCAATGTTCAGCTCATGTGATTTATGAAGGAGGCAGATCAGCTATAGCATCATTCAATACCCAAACACCAGAGAGAGTATTTGTTGTATCCCTTAGCTCATAAGGCCACAACATCATTTAAATATATAAATTAATCATTTAAAGGTTATGTACTTTATTTTAGGTTAAGTCTTATCGGTCCACATGATCCTTATAAGCTATTGACGCCAACTGTTAATTTAGGAGTGTCATGGCGCAACAATACTAGTTTCAATATTAAGTATCGATACTTTCTTTCGATATCCTATCCCTAAATACAGATACCCTATGTGTCATAACGAGGAAGTTGATAAACAATTAAAAAATCTTTTAAAGCAAGGTAGCATTGAAAAGTCAAATAGTCCATGGAACTCGCCTAGAATTTTAAATTTTATAAAGGAATATATATTTTATGTTTTGTCTGTTAATAAATATATGTTTGATTTGTTTTACTCTTTTTTTTTTATTTTCATAAAAATTATAAATTAATTGTTCAAAATAAGAGTTATATAAAAGATTAAATTATCTAAATTATTTTTAACATGTCATAAATATAAAAGGAGACTTGTCCATCTTCTCAGTGGTCAGTGTTCTATCAGTGAATGTTATATTATAATTAGTTATTATTTTTCCTGACAAAACTTATCCGCGTTGTCAAATTGGACTTCGAACACTCAGTTTACAACTTATTATTTGGCATCCCTGGAAAATTTGGTTTCAATTTGTTACCACATACGTAGGTAAATTTAATGGGATACTATTCTAAAATAAATGAAATATTTGAAGCGGACTTAATAAAAAGAAAGCCATTTATGTACATCTAATAGTCCATAATAATATATTTTATTATTGTGGACTATTAGATGTGAATATTATATATCTTGATATATTAATACAAATACAAAATAAGTATTATGTAAAAGTTTTGTGATATTGGGGCACAGCTCATATGATGATTTTTATCATAAAGATTTTTCAACTCATCTTAATTACAAAGTAATTTATCTGCCACTGCTTTCTGTTTAAAATAATTTATAAAAATATTTAGAGGCCAACAGTTTAGTCTTGTACTGTAATACCACATTTTATGTCAAATTCCTATTAAGGATTCTTAGTATAGTATTAAAATAAAAAATTAAATAAAATTTCAATGAAAAATAATTACAGAGTTAAAATCATAAATAACCTTACATTATATCATAAAATGCAATTAACGTATATAACAATAACAGTTAATTATGTGTATCACACATTCAATTAATAATTATTAAAGATTTAAAATACCACGTATATTTCAACCAATAGAAGCACTCAAAATTTACGCTATCTATCACCATAATCGCCTGCGTCCAGCGCATCGTTTCCCTGCGTTCATTCATGATAAAAATTGGACTGCCAAAATTGTGTACGGCGTGGTCTATCTATATGTATTTAATCTATGGTTATATTAAAAGCTAGTTATTCCAGTGCCGTATGATGGCATGGTTGGTCACTACTCAAACTTATAGTCTGCCTGATTCTGCCCATTTTTACATATATTTTCTTTCTCTTTCTCGCCTCTCAGAGCAAAATAAGAGAGAATGTGACAGAATTCTCCAATTACTCGCCACTCACGTAATTTTTTCATGCATTTAACTTTTTGAACATTTTTGATCATTTCATGAAAAATACGGACATTTTTTCGAAAAATACGGACGACCCTCAAAAATACGGACGTCTGGTAGCCCTATTATAAAAATGCATTCTATTCAAAATATTACATTTTGGCCTCTATTCTTTAAAAACTTATTATTGTTTTTCTTTCCATTGTTCAAACTTAATGTAAATTGATAAATTTTGTAAAAAAATACTATAGTATTTTNTTTGATAGTGATTTTAATCACTGTCAGATATCATTATACTTGATCCAACTATACCACGTCACAACTGTGCCGCGACCCCCCTGTGCTGGGTTTTTTTTATTTTTTATTTAAAGTAGTATTTAAAAGAGACCCTAGGAAAACTACTCCTTTGTAGATAAATGTTTTTTTTTTATTTTGTTATTTTTATGGTTTATATGTTGCCAATAAGCTACCAACATTTCATTTTTGCAATCTTGTATATGAACCTGAATTTTTTTCATAAAAGTTTTATATTTATACTTTTAGAATAGTAGTTTAATTCCATTGTATCAGGGCTTCATAATATTCTGTAATATTATTTTAATACAATTTAATGTTTTATACAGGATAAGTAGTGCTCTCTAACGGTAGGATTTTATCTGATTAAATATCACTAACTTCACAAACGTGTATTTATATTTTATTATTTTATATCATTGACACTTTATAGTACTTATTATTACTTTCGAATGATCTAAGTTGGTTGGCAAATGATATAAAAAAATTTCATGTTAAATTCGTTGACTGTATACTATAGTTTCTATTTGTATGTAATTAATTAGTCTATGAAAAATTTAAAAATTCAAATTTATTCAAATAAATTTAAAATAAAACACTTCAATTAAATATAAGTTATAATTTTTGTTTAAAAACGTTATTGTATTATTTTTATAATTAAAAAAGTATTAAGTTAATCGTTTAGAGGACCTAAAAGTACTTAAAACAGTACTGAACTACCTATTTCAAGAATATTGCATTCATGTAGAAGAGTTTATTATAAACTATTAGTTAGAATTTGCATTTTAAATTGTATTAAATTGCTTTAAAAAAGATAGTTTTATGATTGATTAAGAAAATGGTAAGTTTTATTTAATATTTTAGCTTAATAAATTATTTATATATACAAAAAATAAATTTCATAAACCTTAAACTGACCAAAAGAAAAACATTTTTTTTTGTTATTAAAAAAGTCAATAGTACACACTGAAGGACCTATATAATTATATATATTTATATTAAACATACTTTTATACAAACTTACGTTTATTTTATATACCATTATTTCTGAAGATTATTATAATGCTAATCAAAAGCAAAATATTAAAAAAATTTGTAGAAGTTCTAATAAACATAAATTTTTATGAAAATGTGAGGGTTAAGCCTCTTTAATTTGAACCAATGATAATACAAAAAGTATTATTGTTAATTCTGTCTTACTTAATTCCATTACATTAAATTACCATGTATGGTAATTTTTGGGTCAGTATGTGTTTAGCGTTGATAATGGTAACATTGTTTCCGAAATACGTATCCGCGACTTTTCATTAATTTTTTTGTGGCTTCGAGTTTAATATTTTTTAGTTTTTAAATTAATAATATTTTTAATATAGTTTTAATTTTACTTAATTAATTAGCCACAAGTGATCAATTTTTATTATACCAATAAGTAGTCAAGTGTTTTTTTTTAATTCATCAAAATTATTTTATAAAAAATTTGTGCATTAAAATGTAAAATGATAAGAGAAAATATTCTCTTTGTACTGTGTTGTAACATAGTAATGAAAATCATGAAATGATTCTGACTAAAAATATGAAGTTTTTTCACAAACCTAATAGATAAAAAAAATTTTCTTTTTATTCTTTAAATTTTTAATATCAATTTATAGTTAATGATTTTTTTGTGGTTTTAGTTTTTTGTAAACAATACTAATAACATGATAATTAGTATTACTAGAAAATTTATAATTTTATTTCTACATAAAAAAATATTTTAGTCATTCAATCAAGTTGAGGATGAAACATACAGCCCAGAATTCGATATTGGTTCTTTACCAAAACATTATGATTATAATTCATTTGTGTGTGATGAAGATATAGAATCTGAAAAAGAAGATTTACCTCGACTAATTCTTATGGGATTACGAGGGTAAATTAATTCTATTTTTCCAATTTTAATGCTAATTATTAAAATTTTTAAAAATAAAAATTTGATTTTAAAAAGAAAAATTGTATTTTAGAAGTGGAAAAACTTCTATACAAAAAGTTGTGTTTCAAAAAATGTCACCAAATGAAACTTTATTTGTTGGTAGTAATAATTCTATGTTAAAAAATGATATAAACAATTCTGCATTTGTTAATTTTCAAATATGTGATTTTCCTGGTCATTTTGATTTTACTGATCCCGAATATGATGCAGACACAATTTTTTCTGGCTGTGAAGCTCTCATTTTTGTTATTGATGCTCAAGTAATTATTACTACATTATTTATTTAACTTAAACTCAGCTTTTTGGCGGATCTAAAAAAAAATGCAGGCTCAAACATAACTAGCACTAATTTTTATTCTACTAATAAATTAAAATTTATTCACATTTTTTTAAACATTACAAATTCAGATTGTTATAAAGTAGTTTGCTTCAAAAATTAATTCAAATTTTTCAATTTTATTTAAGTGATATCTACACTAAATAATGCCTAATGAATGAAACCAAAGTAAAATGTTTTCTTGTGTGAAAAAACTTACCTATAATCACTTATTGACCATTTTTAATATTTAAAAATATTGGTATTCATAAAATTTAACTGTTAAAAAAAATTTAGATTATTAATAAAAAGAGATTTGTTATATATTTCTTCAAGGCTTAAAAATATTTTTAAATGTACCTAAAAATCTCAAAGTAAATAGTTATAATCCTAATTAATGTGACACATATTCTACACTTCCAATTAATAAATTGTCATAATTTGGATTTTTAAAATTGTGGAACATACAAGTTTATTATCAGTGCTAGAGTCGGTTTCTCAATTTAGTTAATATATGATATAATATTTCGTACGTTTAGGATGCTATAGCCAGTGCCCTTAACAGATTACATTCAATTGTGACAAAGGCATATAAAGTAAATAATAATATTAAATTTGAAGTATTCATACATAAAGTAGATGGACTTACAGAAGATACAAAAATGGAAACTCAAAGAGAAATCCATCAAAGAGCAAATGATGATTTAGTAGACTCAGGTAACTTAAAATCCTATAATGAGTATATATGTTTTATAGGATACTTAAAGTAATGTATATATTGTAAAAGGAGACTCAAATTTAATATTATTTAAATGTTAATTAACAGGTGATGATCAAAAAATTTATATAAGTTTTCATCTAACATCCATTTATGATCACAGTATATTTGAAGCATTTAGTAGAGTTGTTCAAAAAATGATACCTCAGTATGCAACTCTTGAAAATTTTCTCAATATTATAATAACTGTGAGTCAAAGTTTGCAAAAAAAAAAGTTTATTTTGCATAAAAATTATGTTAATTGAGTTTTTTGATACTTTTAAATGACTTAGCAATTTTTTGGAATACAGAATTATAATAATTTTGGTTATATACATTTCATCAATTACAAAAATATGTTTACTTATATATTTCATGACTCCATTTTAACATTTAAATAGAATTTTTTTATCCCTTTATATTTCTATATTATTTACATTCTTTTAAGTCTTTAAATTTTTATTTATAGGAGCAGAATAAATAGAACAATTAAATTAATTGTATCCTATTCATAAATAAAATAAAAAAACAACTAGACAGATGAACTGACAAACAATTTATCTATCTATATATATATATATGTATTATATATATAATAATAATAATGTTGGTATTTACTTTTACTTTTAAAGCTTATACTCATAAAAGATTCTTTTAAAATAGTCCTTTGTTTGTTTATTATTATTCTTTGTCTATTATACTTTACTATTTTTCTATAAAACTAAAAATAATTTGTTTTGCCTCTTCAGCCTCTGTACTCTAGTATAATAATGCAAATTTTAGACTTCAGGTATTGAAAAAGCATTTTTATTTGATGTAAAGACAAAAATTTATGTTGCAACTGATTCATCGCCTGTAGACATGCAAAGTTATGAACTATGTTGTGACATGATTGATGTAGTTATTGATTTATCAAATATTTATGGGTAATATAATTCATTTTTTTTTTATTATTATCTTATTTAACTTTCTATCATACTGCATAAAGTTTAGGGGAAACGCCAAGTTCCATGACTGATCCAGCATTTGATGATCAAAGTTCTAGTCTAATTAAACTCAACAATGGTACTATTTTGTATCTAAGAGAAGTGTGTAGTTTCTTGGCTTTAGTTTGCATTTTAAGAGAAGATAATTTTGAAAAGCAAAGTAAGCATTAGAAGAATTATTATTTTTTATTGAAGTTCAAATTTCCGAGTGTGAAGTAGAAGAAAACTAAAAATATATATTAATTTAACAGGACTTAAATTTAATACATTGGTGTGTTTTTATTGCTATTCTTTTGAAACTTATAGAGTTATCAAATTAATTTTCATTTAGAAAAAATATATAGATTTTCAGTAAACAAGGAAAGAGTTTTCTTCTGTTCTCATTGTTTGTAATAACTCCTTACTTATTGAACACTATATGTATACTTATTTTTTATATTTTCTTCTAGTTATATATATTGCATTTGTGCTAAAATTCATGACATTTTTATTTAAATAATGCAGCATTACATGATAATTTTAACAAATAAAATATTATTTTTAATATAAATTCTTTATTTCAATAGTGTATTTTGGATTTTGTTCTGATAGGTATACATAAATCCATTTTTTGTCAACACCATCAAACAAAAAAAAAAAATTGTATCTTTACTATGCAATTATAATTGTTTTGGAAGTATTTGTTTTATTTCCCCTTTAATTATACCTATATTCTATTTATGTCTTCATAACAAATATTTTTATTTGTAGGAATTATTGATTATAATTTTATGATATTGCGAAAAGCAATACATAGTTTATTTGAATTAAAAGCTAAAGAAAAAGAAGGAATACTAGAAAATAAAACACCATCTCCTAAGTAATACTTGGGTTTTAATTAAGTGTATTAATACTTATATAATTTGATAAGTTTATTTATGAAATTATATTATATTAAATATTTATAAAATTCTGTTTGTTAAACCTGTTTTTTTTTTTTTTTTGAGTTTTTATTAATCATTTAAATAATTTTAATATTAATTTTTTGATTATTAAAAATAATATTATGTTGAATGATTGTAAAAATGAACTATTATTTTTAAAATACAACTGTTGTTATTTTTTATAATTGATGTTATTAAATATACTATTTTCATTCTTTAATTCTAAATCTATGATAAAAATTGCATTTTATTAATCTACATTGCAAATAGGTATAGAAGTAGCTATTATGTATAAGTACTTGAAAATATTTTAAAAAAATAATATAATAGTATTTTTTATTAATAAATTACAAAATATAATTTCATACATACTTTGAGTTTAAATACTTCCTACAGAAAACACTAACATGATAAACTATTCTTGGTGACAAACTATCAGAAAACAATATACTTTTTAATGAAAAACAAATTTATTATTTCATTTTTAATGAGACATAATGATTTTTGGATTAAAACATTAATTAACAAAAATAAACCTGGGAGAACTGAACATATGACAATATGTCAGGCTAAATTCTAGCAATGCTAGTATGTAACAACAAGAAACCATTTGCACAGTTTTTCTAATGACTGTGTTTTACTTAAAATAGGCTTTTGAAATTTAAAACCTAAATTATGCTCTAATAGCATGAAACATTGTAAAAAATTAAGCTCTTAATGTCAGGCCATTTGAAAAATTCATTTTTATTATTGACTCATCAAAATAATAAAACACTTTCTGTAAATGTAAAAACATGAAATTTAGCTTAGATCATTGAAAGTCGTCATTACCTTAAAATAAACAGTCTTGAAGACAGAGTTTCAGAATGGGCTACTGTTTACAAGTTCCCCATTCTGATTTTCTAATGGATTTTAAATATTATGTATTCTGCTTGCTTAAGTCAGAAAAAGAAATTATACCACCAACAAAAATCTATTTCTTAAAAATGATCTAGTTCCAACACCCTCACTCTTATAAGAGTTTATCTATCAAAGTAGTGATATATACATTGTTGCTCTTTATTAAGTTCATAAACTTTAATTCAACATTCATGAGCAACATTGTTTTTTTATTTGTATTGCTTAATACTTAGCTGCCAGTTTTTGGACAAATACTCATTATGAATTTACATGGAAGATGGGAAAAAGAGAAATGTGAAGAAAAAAACTAGTGTGTTGTACGAGGACGCGTGGATGAAGTGAAACTTTTTTCATTATGAAGATATTGCGGGGAAATTACATCTATTGTGGTCCTTATTTTTTTTTTTATGCAAAATCAAAATTATTTAATGCATTTTAAATCAAATTAATTTAATTTTTGAAAATATAGTGCTAAAATTTAATATAAGATGTACTTAACAGTGGGCTGTGATGCTCAATAATTTTTTTTTTTGGAACCTCTGTAAAGAAGTTTCACTTAAAAAAAATTTAAATTCCTCAGGATTCATTGAAAATTATTGCAAAATCTATTTCATACCTTATTTAAAAAATGACCAAGTGAATTAGAAGGTATGGCTACCTACTACATTTCTGTAAATATGACCACTTATACTCTTTAGCATCATCCCTTATAATTTAATGAGGTATCAACTTTATTTTTTCAAATGAAAATATACATAGTTAATTTTTTTTTTTAGTTATAAATTGGTAAATTTGTTTGTTATAACTCTCCATGTTATCTATCATAAAACAATTTTTTCAGGTCTTTGTAAGTTCCTTTATTCATATCCTTAATTATCTCTCAAGAATTTAACATTTCCTTCAATTATTTTTTTAGAAAGCTTTCGTGCTTTAAAATTTATTTTCTCATCTTGTTTCTTCTGGGCTACATTTTTATAGTTGTCGTTTTTATTTTATTTTATCTATTACAAAATATTTGTTACCTTCTCTGTCTTTGATATCTTAAGTCTTTTCCTGAAGCACCAAATCTCAAAGGCTTGAAGCCTGTTTTTTTCCATTAAGTCGATTGTCCAGGTTTCACATCCAATCCATATATTACTTTTCAGGAATTTCTTCTTTTTCTCTAAAGCTCTTTTCACCTGTACTATCCTGTAGACGGCTATGGCCATCCTTTGTTTATTGCTTCCTACATATATGAAATGTACCTGGCTTATTTGTTCATCGTATATCTTCATATTTAGTTGAACAGGGTTAATTTTACGGCATATCATAACTTTTGTTTATTTTTTGTTGATTTTCATTTCAAACTTATTTTTTTACATTCTATCAAACGTTGTTGGGGTATTTTTTAGTCTTCTATATTTTCTGTGCGTAAAGCTATGTCATTCGCAAATCTTAAGGCAATTACCATTTTCCCTCCTATTCGAACTGTTTCCTGTATCACTGCCATTAGTTTATTTATTCCTTCTTCAACGTACAAGTTGCACAGAAGCAGTATGAGAATACATTCCTGACTTATCCCTTTTCTTATTTTTCCTTCCTCTTCTTTAACATCTATCTGTATTAATAATAGAAAATTATCTAATTGAAGGATTCTGAGTCGATACCACTTTTAGATAAGTTAAACCCTAGGAAGGGGAGTGGGTATAAATATTTCTATCATTGGACATTTCTCAGTTGAACTCCTGCTGCCCAGGCAAAAAATGCAAATAAATTCCCAATTAAAAAAGATGTTTTCATTTTTGATTTTCTTAATTAGATAATTTTCTATTTTATAACCTAATTAGATATGCATGTTATTATTTAAAAAATAAAGCTCATACCCTTATAAGTTCTAAGGGATGACGATAAAAAGTAATTATAGCTTATAAATCTAACAACATATGTAGTTGGAAATTAAAAAAAAAAATGTCAACTAAATATTTATTTTGTGAGTAACTATCTAAATAGGCTATGATAAATAGATTATTATATCCATATGATCTCCGTATAGTAAATTTTTAGTATTTAAAGTTAACTATTTAGTATTAGAGCTATAAAATAATTTAATAAAAACTATATTCAATGATTTTGTTTCTTTGTCATCTCGCAAAATACAATTCTAAGAGATTTTAATGTTGTTTCCTAATTTCATGATCTTTATATTTTATTTAAATTTATAAAAGATGTCACATTTAACAATAAATTATAAACTTTAAATTAAATATGTCATGTAACCAAATTTGACACAATTCATGTATTTCGTTTTTATTTTAGATTTATTGTTCTACATAATTTTTTAATAATTTATGATAACGTAAGAACATGTAAACAAAAAAATGTAAACACTAAATTGTTTTCCTATAATACTTGACAGTTTTAAACACACTGAAATTAGTTTAGCTATTTTTTGAGAAAATCCAATCATTAATAATCCAAATATATGTAAACCATCATGCTCTTCATTGACTATGATAAATTCTGGAATGATACTTATTATAAATGGCATAACTGCTGACTAAAAATGAATAATATTAAAATAAATTTTATAATTCTAATTTTAAACTGTTAAAAATAGAATATTCCAAAATTTATATCCTATTGTAAATGTATTTATCCTATTTACATCAATATGTGATTACAAACTTAAAATATTAAGTATTTAAAGTGTTTTAATATTTTATCAAGAGTTTTTAATAATTTTTTACTATTTAATATTATACTACTGGTATTATGTCATAGACTTCTTATAAAATCTAATAATCTAAATAAATTAAATAAAAAACATATTACTTTTAAGAAAAATGATTAATAACTTAAATGAATAAATCATGCAAAATGAGTAAACTTACATTTGCAAATAAAAACCCAAAATCGTAGTATAACAGTGCTAATGTAAGCTGTGACAATAATATATGTACAATTGTTGTTCTTGATACGTCAATTTGATAATAATTAGATAATGTTCTTTTTAAATTGGGTTCACAGTAATTAAAATCAAAATTTTTAACTTTTAATTTATCATTTTTATCAACTTTCTTAGAATTTTCAAGACTTGTACATTTTTCATTCAATAAATAGTCAGGTTTGAAATCATACTCAGACTTTTCTAAAAGTCAAAAACATTAGTGCAAAAAAATTGCATAAAAATAAAAACAAAATTTTTCTTACAACAGTATAAAATATTACCATAGTAAAAATTAATGAAATAACAAGTTTTGTACATAAACAATAAAAATCCCAACAATGGTTGATATGCATAGAAGTCAAATAGAGGGGCTTTGCCCCTAGTATACAATTTAGGTCAACCCCTAAATATAATACAATACATTTTCTGAAATTGTGATATAAACTTTTTTTTGTTATTTTGTTTGTTTTCAAAAAAAAATAATAATAATAATAAAATATATTATGATAGTCTAAAATTTTTAGAATACTTCAATTAAAGTTTAGTGCTACTGCATAATTTGCAGTAATACATTAACCCTATAGAGCTACCATTATTCTAACTCTATTATCTGTATTATGTTACCACAATAAAATTATGTTAAAAACCATAACATTTAATTTACTTAAATTTAATCATTTTTAAATCGATGACATATTTTTTATAGGTTATTTGTAAAAAAACTATTATTTTGTAAGGAAATGATGTAAGCTAAATACAAATTAAAAATAATTTATTTAAAAAATATATCTTGTAGCTTCGATGTGAAGATGAGAAGGTATTATTTTAATATGATATATTTTTTGTTTGTGTCTATTACTACTTTTTTTCAGCTATGACCAAACCAATTTCTTTAAACAATACGTCAAAATATCACAAATTGTATCTAGTCAAAGACATTATGCTCAAAAATTGAAAAAATTTCTCTCGTTTCCAGTAAATCTGACCCTTTACCTGCCCACAAGGATGTTTTCAAAATGACAACTTTTTCACAAAAAATTAACTTTTTCAACTTAACTCTTGAAATAGTTCCAGAATTCCTGACACTTTAATATATATCTTAAATTAAAGATAATGTAATATACTTTATTATGGAAAAAAAAAATTTTTTTCTTTATTTTGTCTTCACAGTGAAAATAGTTACCAAATGCTATTTTTGTGTGAAAATTTTCAATTTTATTTTTTACATTTTTAACTTAATAATGCTATAATTTATTGAAAAGTGTATGGATCAATACAATTTTTTTACGAGAAATAATATTTATATCCCTCGTTCATTCGATTTACTTTCTATCTCAATCAGGATATAAATAAGGAAATAGCAGATCATGTAGCTTTTGGAATAATCTACCAATTTTTTTAAATTAAACACTATCTAAAAATTTGCATCACATCAATTTTTTATGATAGTGATTTTAATCATTGTTAGATATCATTATACTTCACTCAACTATGCCACGTCACCACTGTGCCACGACCCCCCTGTGCTGGGTTTTATTTTTAACTATTTCAAATTGTGTGAATTTAATTTTGATGACTTCTTTTTTTTTTAAGTATTTAAATTTGAGTTGAATTAGTTGAAATCCTAATCAATAAATTGGATTAAAATTTTTTTTGTTTCACAATTAAGTATATTATAACATTATTTTATAATTGAGTTTAATGTAATTCAACATTTAAACATTATATAATGTTATGTTTAACATTTTTAATATCAAAATGTTATTCAATGTTTTTCATTTAACATATTAATGTTAAATAATTATTATTTATTATCCTAAGAATTTTATAAGAATACTTTTTCCTTATATAGATTATTTTAAATATCATGTTTCAAAAGAATTTTTTTATATTATAAGATGGATAATGACGTTTTAAGTTTATTAATATCTCATATTTTTCGTTTTGAAAATTATTTATAAAAGTTCACCTAAAATTTTGACTAATCTACTGTACCAACCATTACTGTAGTAGAAATAAATTGAACAGTATAAAAATACAAATTTGAAATTAAAGTTAAAAACAAATAAAAATTTTAAATAAATAAAACATTATTTGCAAGATTTTCATATAAAAGTTATAAGTATCATGAATTAAAAGTTAATCACCTTTTTTAACTCCAATTAAATCATTTTGAATATTCAAATCAATTTTAGCTGTTTTTAAAGCATTTATTCTACTAAGTCTAGCTTCTGAATTTTCTAAAATTTTTCTGCGTCTTTCATTTCTCCGTTCCTCAATATTCATATTTCTGACAAATACTGAAAACGAATAATTAATTTTTTTATTATGATAGCAAAAATAAATTTGACTTAAAAATACTTTTAATCAATACAAAGTATAATAGTCATGTTATCTTCTATTTATGTTTACATTTATCATGAAATGGCGTATTGGTCAAAGCTGATAAGACCTCAGATACAACTCAAAATAAATTAAAATTTTTAATCATTTTGTTCTTATTACTAAATATTTATTATATTGATATAGCTACGTATTAATTACTTATAAAACAATCTTTTACGTATTCTTCTCTTATTAAAAATTTAATAAAAAAAATTTTGGACTTTGGGCACCCTGTTCGATAATTTTTTTTCTTAAATGACATGAAAATTAATTATTACTAATTGTTTTAGAAATAAATATATACTATAATAATACTATGAAATAATTTATTTTATTATAAAATATAGTCTCATAGTCAAATAAACATTTATAAAATCAGAGTCGAATTTATAAATCATACTGCTATACTGTCTTCCACGATGTTATTTTATTTTGCTCATGAAAAAATTTTTTCTCTATTTTTTATGCATCATTTTTCTTAACTTCGATGCGTTTCAAAGAAGTTATTGGTTTTCTTATGCGTATTTTCTTTGTTTGTCCATGAAACTTCTCGACTCCATTGTACCCAACCGTATTGTTCAATACGTCAAAATTTAAATCTATTTGAAGCCTTTGTCACCAAAAATTTAAAAAATCCCTCACTTTTAGATATATAGAAAAATATAACTAAATTACACTACCGTTAAAAACGGCAAGTCAAACAAAAAAGTTCTGTATTTATAACTACTTCTACTCTTTTTAAAAATACTGAACCTTTTGAAATTTTAACATAGTAAACTAGAGAAAATAAGCTTTCTTTAGGTATGCTATTTATAAAAATCCAATAAAAAACTGAGTACAGTAAGTGTTTGAATGAGACTTCTCACGCTTAGAATATAATTATTAAATATAATATATATTCTTGGTTATCAATTTTTGCAATGTTCCAAGAAGTTTTGCGTTTTAATGCTGATACAGGAGGAGACGATCGCTCCCCCCTAAATACGCCCTGTGACACCATGTAGAGGAAGAGGCAGATTGTCTTTTTAAAATCATGTTAACACACTACTTTATTCATATAGATATCTTCCAGGCTAATTTTTTATTTATTTATTTAATTTGTTCGGCATTCATAGATTCGAAGTTACTTGTTAATTCAACATTACCTTACAATTAATAAAAAATAACTCAAACCTAATGACTCATATTTCTCGAATTTTCGTTTACTTTTATTTTTTTAAAAATCAATAAAAATAATTTAAAAAAAAATTGTTTTGTCATAAACATTCAAAATATCATCATCGTCAATATAAAAACTATTAAAATTAAATGGTAAACAAAAACAAGGAACATCAGCGACATCTGGTGATTTATTTCCTGTACCTATTTATTAAATGTCCATTGACCAGTCACAAATAATTAACTTGATAGTATAATACTGATTGTTGTAGTGCTTTGACGGTTTTGTATTTTACTATTTTAGTAATAGACAAGTGCAAAAGTTCGATTTCTATGAAAAATATTTGGTAAGCACAAAATTAATTCACTTATCTTATTAATCAATGAAATAAGTCTACATTTAAATTTATTTTTCATAATAACATATAATTATTTTGACTTTAAAATAATATTATTATTTAAATAGTGCCTCCTTAGCTCGTGCTTCAATTATCAATGTAATAATAATAGTTATAAGGGGTCTAATTCTAATTATTACTGTTGGGTTTCTTAACAATAACGAATTCCACTAAACACTCTGTCCATACTAAAACCACCAATGTATTAAAATATTTATAGCTCCATGACTTCTTATAAAATTAAAAGAAAAAATCTGTAAAATGGCTAATTTTAAATTTTGATAAAAATTTAAAATACGATAACCAATATATTTTTTAATAGTAACAGTGCTTAGATATTATAGCACTAATAAAATATATATTTTGCGCTTTAATATGCACTTAAAAACACCACAATAAGCGCTATAAATAGCACTAAAAACAGAAAAATATGCAAATTACAATTTCAATACAAAACTTTTTTAATAATAATTTTTTTTTATACAAAACTATTTAAAGCCGCTTAAATGTTACAGTTGAATATTTATTTATATTCTATAGTATATATATATCCGACCCCAAGTAGTTGGGAAGAGGGCGACTATAACGAAGATATATATATTATTAATGTTATGTATTCATTTTAAATGAATTGATATTATTTAACGTAAGAATTACTTTGAATAATAACATGTGTTTCTTACATTTTCATATTTGAATGATCTACGTTTATTTGTAAATAAATAATAAATTAAATGTAAAGAATGACCGCTCAACATTGACTAACGTCATGGTTGCGTATTTAAAAAATGCTAAGTCCGTTACAACTTAAATCTTGTTCACCAGTTAGAACTTTTGATATTTTTATTAATACCGCGAGACCAAAAATTTTTTCTAATACCTTATTAAACTTATTTTGAATAGCGTTTCCTTTTGAATCACTTAGATTTTCCAAAGATTTTTGAATATCCTTTACAATTTTGATGTATTGAATGAATTTGATTGATTGAATCCGATAATGGTACATGTTGATGTTATAATTTTTCAGTAGCCAAGGTAAGGTAGCAAAGTTTGATTGAATATACGTCAAGTTATTTTCTAATCCCGGTTTTATGATGAAATCTTGGTCGTCTATAATACTACAGCATCGTTTTTATCCAACATGTAAACAATATGGTGTATTATCTCGAAATTCTCGCAACAATAAATTGCCGCGTTAATCCAACTTCCCCAACGAGTTATAATTGGCTCTTCTTAGATTTGGCGCTTCCGCTTTAAATAAAAGTAAACGACTTGGTACTTTTCTGAATATTTTTTTCACACTTGTAATCATTTTGTCTACGGCATGAAATTGACTTCTTACTTCTTCTGCGACTCATTGAAGCCCGTGTATAACACAAGTTACATGAATCATTTTCGAGTAAAGACTTTTTAGCAGTACTCCTGATTTAACCATGTAAGGTGCAGCAACAGTTAAAAATAAAAGTACATTGTCATGTTTGATACCAGTTTATCGATGATAAACTCATCGATCTGTCAAAAAGTTTGATCATCGTGGAGTGGTTAGCTTTTTCTAGTTTAACCGAATTTAGTAAAAAAAATTTGCCTGCGTAATTTTCATCAAGAATACCAACTAATACATTCGTAATGTAACGACCCCCTACATGAGTCGTCTGATCGATACTGACTCAAATTTTATTATCTGACAGTTTTCCTTATATCGTTAATAGTATTATTATAAATTTCATCTACGTATCCTTTTCGCAACGTAGTTTCGCTCGGAATTTCATTTTTTGTATACATTTCCAAAAATATTATTAATTTTTTATTTTCTATGTTATTTAAAGAAATGTTAGCAGAAATAAGAGCCTCACACGAATCTTTGTTGAATGATGATTTTCTATTACTTATTTTTGTCAATTACTGTTGCCGTATTCGATTAATTTGATTTTCATATCGGACAAAGCCTTTTACATGTTTGACACTTTTTAAATGTTATGATACATTGAACTCTTTGTCGGAATTAACTTTAATTTTACCACTTTTCAAATAACGCAGATACAACACATAGAAATGACGATGGGATACTAAAAATTTTAGTCTGATATAAAAAAATTGTATATGTAGGTAGTATGAAAATAACGCTAAGACCTATGTAAATACGGCGATAACGATAATAGTAGTACGTTTGACAGGAGATATGAGCAAATTATTGTAAATGATATAAATTTTATTATCGACAACAACAATCGAATATATCACATTTATTTGATAGTTGTTGGTATAGATGTTGGTATAGTTTTTTTTCAGTACAATTTTGGTTATTTAAGATATATATATATAAAATCTAGTTAAAAATAGCACTTAAACCTAAAAATTAGCAAAATAGCACCAAAAACTGTAAACATGCAAAATATGCATTTGCTAAAACTTCCGAGCCCAGGTAATAAGTAATAAAAATATGATTTGATAATAGTCTAAAAAGGCAATAATTATTAAAAAAAAAATCGTTGTAATAAGTTTCAAAGGTTGCCACTTTTTTATAAATATACATGAATTATTTCTTTTTCATATCATCATCATAATGACCAAAATCTAAACTCTATTTGAAGGAATTGGGTCCCCTAAAAAAATATTTTTACAATTAAAAAATTAATGTATAGAACTTTTTTATGCGAATATGAATTCTTCTGTGGTGTTAACGTTTACTACACCCAGAGAAAAACCTCGATCTATATAATAAATTCATTGTTCAATTTGATAAATATATCATTACTATTGAATCTATGATATATTTATCAATATGATAATTTTTTTTCTTGTCTTGAACAATAATTATTTATAAGAATAATTATTTTGTTCGTATTAATAAAACATTATCATAAACCCTTGATAAAATTTCTCTATCAAAATTGATTGAGGTTTTTCTTTGGGTGTATGTGTAATTTATATGCATAAATGTTTATATGCCACAAGAAATTTTATTGCAAACAAGATAACTTGTTAAAAATTACACCTATTGAGTCGATTATTTTTGTATTATATATATATGTAACACTTCGTGCAGAAATGTACGAGTCGACTATCGTCGTTTAATTAGTATATTATCTGTGTAATTGTGTCGTTCGTGACACAAAAGCAAAGTTCATTATTATTATTATTAACCCTTTGTTAGGCGCGTGGCTACGCTTGCAAACCATTTTAATATCTCATCAATATAACATTATTTTACTTAACGAACGGTTAATAAATAAAATAAACTCGTTACCTACATAGTTTAGTAATTTGAACAAAATATTCCGACCAGTTTTTTGTGCACTAAGCAGTGTATACGTATCCATTCAAAATTGAAGTGTAGAAATACTAGTTATATTGGCATAACATAACAATGTCTACTCATAAAATCAAATCTGTAAATACCCTAAAAAACTATATTAATAAAAAAATTAAAACAACTCATGATATAAGTATTAGACATGAAGTGAGTACTTCAAACTATAAAGTTATCTTATCTACTTATTTACTGAAGTTAAACAAATAATTACAAAAAAATCTACTAATAATAGTGTCTTTATT